GGTACCCATATATTGTTGGGTCCTTTTTGGTTAGCATATGTGCGATGTGTGTGCGTTTGTTGAAAATGCCTAATTTTGGTGAAGCACACGGGTGCAATGTGACCTATCTTATTGCAATAGTGGCAAATAACATTTGGATTATTCATCCTATATGGTTGAGTGTAATGAGTTCTAGGTTTGCTAGGATGTGCTCTTCTAGTTTGATTATTTATCCTAGCATTTTTATTCCCCCTAGCTTTAACAAATGTTGTTTTTCTAGGTTGGTTTTTCTTATATCCAAGTCCTTCACCATTACTAACTTTTTTGCTTAAGTATTTTATCTAAGGTGTTTGAAGCATTATTGAACTTTCCCAATTTACTTTCTAAAGTAGCAACTTTAGCTTTTAATGAAGTACAACTAGAGCATGTAGAAGAAGAAGTAGTTGAAGGTTCTTGTGGCCTTTTTCCAAAAGAGACAATTTCTTGTTCAAGTTTATCATTTATATTTTTGAGTTCTTTTACATCATTCTCAAAAATCAGGATTTTTTGTTTAACTTCATTATTTTCTTTAGAAGCCTTTTTGAACATTCCTACTAAATCTTCTATAATGCAAACAACGTCATTAAGAGTTAAAGGCTCATTGGGAGAAGGTTCTTGATCACTTACCTCTTTTGATATATCACCATCTTCAATGGCCATTAGGCATAAGTTGGCTACTTCCTCCGTTTCTGAGTCTTCACTCCCGGAGCCGTCGTTCTCCCAAGAGATGTAGGCACGTTGCTTCTTCGGTGCCCTCTTGTCCTTCTCGTTCTTGAACTTCGGACACATTGGTTTGATGTGTCCAATTTCACCACACCCATAGCATTTGGGTGGATTGTTCTTCTTGGCTCCCTTCTTGAGCATCATTTTCTTGAATTTTCGGACAAAGAGTCTGAGGTCGGTGTCGTCGCTGTCATCATCTTCATCATCAACGTTGTTGTGGGTCGATGTTGTTGCGGGTAGAGCAATAGACCTCTTGTTCCTCTCTTCAACCACCTTTGAGAGTTGGGTGGTTTCGTAGGTAATAAGATTACCTCGAAGAGCATCATAGGTCGTTGTTTGGAAGTCACGACCTTCTTCGATTGCGTCCACCTTTGAACGCCATTTGGGGGATAGGCTTCGTAGCACCTTTCTCACGAGCTCTC